TTGTCCAATCAGCTGATTTCTTCTTCTTTCCTTCGCCTTACATATATTTTGTTTTTGCTTTTACTGATTTGACAGCATGCCCCTGAATAGCAACAACAAAATACATGTAAACTTTGAGGCGAATTGAGATTTGACATTTTGCCCCTGATACAAAATACATATGGTTGTTATTTGTTGTATTCTTGCTACCACCTTGTATAAATTCGCCTTGAATAGATCCTTACGAATTCGCCGCGATTTGGTACGATTCTCCTCGTGCAATATAACCATGAACCAAAAATACAAGATCACGCCTTCTTCTTAGTAGCCCGTTATAATCGCATTTAGGAAAAAAGTTGGGCGACTTTGACATTAGCCGTTTGTTTACATTTGTTCGTTGTTTACAATTTGGTGGTGGCTTTTTACTGCAATTTTCTTAATTTTCGCTTGTGACAACGTGTGCACACATAAGGTAAAGAATAATTTAATACAACGACATGATTTATAGAAGAATTTGCATAATAAAAATGATTATTCATGCGTTCAACAATTACGCGATTTTTTTGTTCTCTTCGTTGTTTACTTCTTACAACAAAGATGGCGTCGAGATTTCAACAGCTAGAAAATAACTTTTTTCTTTCTTTCGGGAAGGCGTGATCTTGTGTCTTTCGTTCATGCAATATAACCAAGGCACTAAGTAAAGCGCTGGTTATACTTACATACATTGCAAGTGCAGGGCATAGAGAAGCAGCGCATGTGAAGTAGTGGTGTAATTATCAGTGTTGCCAACTTTTCATTTTCAAAAAGCACCAAAAACTTGGATAAAAAGCGTTTTATCAAACTAAAAGCACCAAATTTTTTTTAATCAAAGGATGCTTTTTTCATAACAGTTTGTATTTAACAAAAACAAAAAAATTAAAAATATTTACAAGGATGCATACATAAATTAATAAATAAAACTTTTTCGCTCATAACGATTGGAAAAGCCACATGCTATAATGACTCATGCTTACGACGTAATACCGAAGTACTGCACATTAAAACTAAAATTAAAATTAAAAAAATATATCTCAAGAAAGAAAAATCGAATCCCAACAAACGAAAATCATGCCCTAAGTAGAAATGAGCAAAAAAAATTATGTTTTCATTATATAACCTCAAATATCGCAAAACACGTGTTCTTCGTAATCTGGGGGTAGAATATCTAAAAATTCTAGTACTAGAGCAATTGTGCGGCCAGATTTGGATTCAGCACCAAGAAACGATGTGTTTTACTCAGGTGGTACAAAAATAAAAATTTTTACAAATAATTAGAAAAGAACAAAAGAAATACTTAACTTACACGCATATCTACTAGCATTTTCAAGGCGAATAGAATTGAACAAGGTGGGTTTGCAAGTTCAGCCTTTTATCAATCATGGTTGTATTTAAATGCATTTCAATTTGTAGATTTTTTAAATTCAGTGCTGCCACAGCTTTGAATATTTAAAAATTATTTCAGGTCTTAACTATATCGGAGTAACTTGAGTTCAAAAAAAGCACTAAAAAAGGCAATAGGCACTAATAATTTTTTTATGCGTTTTAATTTTCAAAAAGCACTAAATCTAGTGCTTAAAGCACCAAGTTGGCAACTATGGTAATTATACACGGCATAGAGCGCATAATTTCCCAGAATCAGCTGTTCAGTGTAATCAGTTAGACTGTTCCACCAGTACTCCAGCATTTAGTTAGAAAAACATAACTGAAGAATGCTTATTTATAGCTTAAATGAAGTCGACGCTAAAGTTAGTTGCTGCTTTTTGTCATAATTTTCAATGAAATGGCGGCAACTAACTTTATAATTGACTTTGTTTCGAATATAAATATGCCCCAGTGTATGTACAAGAACGACTTCTCAGTAATTCCTGTAAATCTGATGGGTACTGGAACAGACTAATGAGGGCAATGAGAGTGGCATCTCTCTTTGAAAATGTCACATAGCGAAAAATCAAAATTCTCCAGACTTAGCTGTCATGCCCTGTCATGCGCTGCGTAGGATAATCGCTTGTATACAAAGCTCATTAAGCAGACTCGATATGTGGCAGTACTCATGTTATGCGCTGCAGCACAATGCAAGTATAACCAGCGCTTAACGTACGCAATTTTGTTTGCTAAATGCATTTATTTAAGTTGAAAGAAGGCAAATTCCTTTGTTCGGCATTTCTTCTTACTCGCTTTCTATCTTCCAAGGCGAATTCATATATTCTTATCACGAATTCATAAATTCATGTGGTAGCAAGAGTATAAAAACTTAAAATTACCTTATCACGTTTATGCGTAGCCCAATTCACGAAATCATTTCACGAATCTGAGTAAAAACTCAGTGCACAAAATCCATTTCGCGTATAATTGAAATCATGAAATAGTGTTCATGCACTCAGTTTATACTCAAACGCATGCAATGATTTCATGAATTGGCCTACGCGTAATGGTTGTAAATGGCAGAATGAATTACAACGCACACATTATTCTGACATAACGCAAGCCTTAAACGTTGCGACCGTTGGTTCAGATCGATCCGCAATCAAGTCGGACGTTTTGCCCACAAACATTGCAATTTTGCGAGCAGTCTCATTTTTACAATTTCATACTTTCGGCTTACATTTATAAAATTCAACGAAAGCACGTATGTATATACATATTTCGGCTGAGTTTTCCATTATGAGTTATTTAGGGCCACTTGCAGAACAGCAGGTTATCTATTTAACTCGAAGTTTACCGGCTAAGTTGATAAATTGGCTTGCACAATCTATGATTAGGAGTAAAATTAGAGTTAAATCGTTAAATATTTAGCCCAGAAATTTTCGAAGGTTAAGTTTCTAACTCTACAGTAACAAGAATAAAAAAAAAAATTGAGATTTCAAAAATGTTTAATGTAAAAAATATTTCTGAACCCAGTAGAACTTGGGAGCATCGTACGATTGCTCGGTGAGTACTCCCTTGGGAGCATACGAATACTCCCCATCGCTCCCTATGCTTCTGTGTATAAGCATGTAATTTTGTATACTCCCTTTAACATTGTATGTCCTAGGAGGGGGAGTAATCCCTTTTACCTCCTAAACGAGCGATCGGGGAGCACACACAGAAATATCATCCCACAAACCTCCTAAGAGAGCAATACGGGAGTACTCCCATAAAATCCTCCCCTATACCTCCCAAAAAGACAACAAGGGAGTGCACATAGAAAACATCCCACATTCCTCCCGAATGATCAATAAGGGAGTGCTCCGAAAGCCTCCTGTACGAGTAATAAAAGAGCTTTTCATTGCCTCACATATAAGCTAAAAGATTTTGCTATTTACGCAATCGATATATTTAATTTTTTATTTAATCTCATGCATGTATACAATATTAAAAGATCTTAACAGATACCTATAAGTACGAGATCAGACAAAACATACATAAGTAATACTTATTACATTTTTGATTAATATTGGAATTCTAATGCGGGAAAATACATTCAAAGTAAAACAGAATAACAATAAAACGGTGAGATAACTACATGATTTCCTTGCGTCAGGGATGCTTGGTGTTCAGGAGTAGGAGTGTATAAAACTTTCTTGTTTTAGCCACGATCAATGTGATGGTTACTTAGCCCATCTGATAGCTATGTCCCCCAGTAAAAGCTCTGGACCGGCATTATATGAACGTTAAAACCAGGTGGTCATACGTAAATGCTGACACTAACAACAACAACAACATTAATCTATTTAAACAGAAGTTGCAATACATACCGATGGACCTTCATTTAACTGTGTGCTATCGTCATTCAATTATTGCCTCCTCCTTATATTGTTTCTATATTAAATATTTTCTGTAGTTTTCCTTATGATAAATTTTTCCAATAATACGCAATTTCTTTTGAACGAGGTGCCTATAGCTCCCCTATCAATCAAAAGGAATACTCCAGGATTACTCTCATAGGAGACATCGCTTTTTGCTCCTAAGCGAGTAATAACGGAGTACAAAACCGACAAATTTCAGTTATCGCTCCGTAATCATGCCTCAGGGAGTATTCTTTTATTGCTCACTTGGGAGATCTCCCGTTTGGCTCCTAAACGAGAAATAAAGAAGTACAAAATCGACAAAAATCGTTTATTGCTCCAAAATCATGGCACTGGGAGTATTCTTTTGTTGCTCACTTAGAAGATCTTCGATTTGACTCCTAAGCGAGTTATAAAGGAGGTCAGAACCAACAAATCGCCCCTATTGCTCCGAAATCAGGCCGAAAGGAGTACTCTTTTATTTCTCACATTGGGAGATCTCCCTTCAAGTTCTAGTGGGAATTGATATGTATATATGTACACACATACATATGTACTTATGTACATACCCTGAAGGAAATGTCGATAGTAAAACTGTACTGATTTAGTATTGACTTTGTCACCAGTACTACTGGCCAATTATACCCCAGGCAATGCTCTCTGCTGTAGACATTTAACATGTGCTAGTCATTGAGAATCCACCAGTGACGTTAGAACTATTAATTAGGTGGTTCTTATGGAACCACATGGAGACATTGGAACTAGTAATTCAGTACTACATGTTAATAATTGAGCGTCTACAATTTTGGAACTTTTTATTAGATTTCCTACTACTGACTATGTAGTTCTTATGGGATCATATGGAGACGTTGGAACCAGAGATTCAGTAGTACATTTTGATAACTGTAGTCAACACTTTTGGAACTTTTTGGAAGATTTCCATAATACTAATATTGCGGCGGGTACAAAATGTATTTAACAAAGTGTGATCGAAATGTACTATAATATCAAGTTCTTTGAATCGTTTGTTTATTTTATACAAAGAGTCAATCACACCTTCTTTAATACACCTTTTAAGGGTATAAGTCCAAACAGGTCCATTTATTTGGGTAAAATTAGATGCTTTATTTCAGAAACAAACGTAAAATTATTTTCATTTAAGTTAAAAAGGGCACAAGTTGTGCGTAACAGTCTTTAAACCCTCGGTTAACAAGTTACCTATTATAGCCGTAAACACATTGCCGTAATCCCGCAAACGCTTTTTGCCGAAAGATCCGTCGACATTGAAATTCATAATTATACCGTGGCCAAATACCTGATGTAGATTGCGTTCAGCGTTACCACCGAGAAGTAACTTGATTTGCCGTATCTATCATATATAAAGCGGAAAAGTAAAATTTTTTATTCACTTCGTTTCACGGTAAAATAAAATACATACTTACATATGGATCTGCTTGCGTAGCTAAAATAGTGTCAAATTCTTTCAATTTTTCCTCGGTATTAATTGGAAAAATGCCCATTATATTTGAGCAAACTGCATTTTGGGCAACTATGCGATCCAATAAAACTTTGTGTTCCGCCAAAATATCAAGTAAAGTATTATATTGCTTTTGAGCAGCATCTGTGAAAATATACGTACACTAATAAGATACATGCATACAGTTTCTCACAAAATTTCATCAGGGGCTCAAACTAAAACCAACAGCCAAAGTTTTGAAGAAAAACCTTTTTCAAAGCTTCTGGCTCTTAATGCTGGAATTTTCAAAACATCTGCATTCTGATTCGAAAACATCTGCGAAAAGCATGAAGCACTATGGACTCGCCACTTTGACATGGTTTATTATCTTCAATTCCCGTGCAGGCTTAACACCAATTTTTTAACAAACCTTTACATAAGTCAAATTTTTTTGATAGTTCTTCACAGCTGTGACATTTTTGATTAACTTGAAAAATAAGAAAATACTTATGTTATCAGTATAGTATATAATGCTTAACTATAAAAATTACCTGGTTGGGGGAAATACTTCAGTGTTCCTTTGGAAAGTTGGGCATTATGGCTCGACATTTTTCTGAAGGCAGCTGTGTAGAATTGGAATTATTACAAAATTGCTATCATAAGGTAAGCATAGAAATTTGTACTGAACATCTTTCTTTAAAAATCTTTCTTTTTCACCTAAACGTAGATTTGTTTTGAAAATACGTAATTCACAAGAATTGAGAGGCTGTTGGAAAAAATTCTCGCCGTCCTTCAACGTAGATATCACATTCTTTTACTATTGCTTCAATTTTTACAGGAATATCTGCTTTAACAGAAAAAATATTATTAGGTTCTTTGCAAGAAATTAAGCAATCATTGACAAAAGCTTTTACAATAGCACCTCCTTTGTACTTAAAGTTTTCTTTTTTAGTTTCAACATCGAGTTGTTCTTTCTGCACAATTTGTTGATGAATCGACGATGGTTTTCGAACATGTCTTTTTAAAATTTGAAGTTTATTTTCAAAATCGTATGCCGAAAAAGACGTGAGAGGTCCATACGTTTCTGCGCTAGAAGCTATGTGCAATAGATTGTGTACATTAAAAGAGACACTGTCTGGGCCGAATACAACAGGGAAATTTTGAACAAATAATTTAAGTATTTCATTAGCTGTATTTACATTATTGTAAATATGTCGTGAATTACTCAGTAGTCTATAGGCGCAATGTAACAGCAAAAATTCATAGAAAATGTCTTTGTGCACGTTATTGTGAAGTACAACAACTCCTGTATAGGCGAGGAACTGACGAAATTCAGTGGCCTTCCAGTTATGTATTGCATCAAATGATCTAGGTTTCCGTGGGAACTCCTTGGGGAAAAATTTTCTTAATTTCACTAGTTCAGAAGATATTTTGGATATATTTGCTTTTGGAGTCGTCTCTTCTGTTCTATTCTTAATGATTCGAATAAGCATTTTTCTTGTAACTCCAAGATCGATAAGGTGCCTGCTGTCTAAAGGAGTTTGCGTTACCATATTAAATCCTATTTCTTCAAGGGGAGTTTTTTCATCTTTGAATTTGTGGCTGTGGTGATTTGGATATTTTCTTAAAGAAAAGTCTGCGTCGGAAATTAAAGTGCCACTAAAAGTACTATATGTTAGCACATGGCCAACTTTCTTCGATACTTGTGTGCACTTAGTGCAACCATGCGATGCAGTATGTCCTGGGACACCACAAACAAAAGCTTTAGCCGGCGTGTCGCATAATAAACAGCGGAACAGAATATTAATTTTCTTATCACTCAAAATCAATCCATCTTTTAGCGCAAGCACTTCCTCAATAAAATCTTTTAAGAAGTCTTTAACACAACACGGTTTGGTATCGCCTACATATATTCCTACAGGAAAAGGTTTCACTTTCTCTTTTAAATTAACTATTTTCAAAAGAATTGTCCACAACTGGATTCGCGAAATTTTAAATAATGGAATTCCGTCAATATTTATATCCAGTTCAATTTCTTCATATTTTTTTAAAACGTCTCCAACTTTTCTTAGCTGAGTTTCAATTCCTACGTGACAATAACTTCCTGGGAAAACTTTTCTGATTGAAACTTGATGCTTTTTGCCCAACAATGCTGCTGCCGAAAGTGGAACCTCCAGGCCTTCCTCCTGTAATATAGCCAGCAGCTTCTCCAAACAATTTCTGGAAGGACCTGTTTCAACATACCACTTCTTTAACTTTTCGCGCAAACTATATTGTGGAGTAGACAAATCTTCAAAAGACTGCACAAAATCTTCAACAGGCTCCGCAAAATCTTCAACAGTCTCCACACAACCTCTAAAGTAAGAAATTTCGCTAATAATTGTTGCCTCTTTTTCGTTGTTTCTATTTCTATACAAAATTGATTGCTTTTTCACTAGTCGTTTGTAATTTCTTTTGCTCATGATATAATTATTTAAAATTATACGCTTATTTACTTTTTAAATTCAATTTTCTTCGCCTTTTTATCAAAAACTAAAAACTTGCCCTGCGGCCACGTGTATTTTCAACAAAACAAATTGACACAATAAGAAAATCAGCTTTTGCAGCTGTCAAAAATGTCTCTACCTATCAAAGGCAAAGTAAAAAGTATAGACATTTCGTTGACAATGTCACCCAAAATAGTTGACTGAAGTGGTGACTCGCAGACACTTGACTCCAAGCTTCCTTCAGGGTATGCACATATTCATTTTCCGCCTTCAACTCTGAGGTTTTGGCCAGTCTTGCGTGAAAAATATATGCCATTAAAATGCACCAAACGTATGCAGTGCCAAATTGAACCAACGGTCGCTACGTTTATAGCTTTTTTTAAGAAACACCGGGGCGAAATTTTCAACTGCTCTTGTAACACCATGATTCAATAATACAAGGTTGCATAAATATTGACATTTGTGTCAATCGACTGCCTTGTAAGGTTGCATTTGAGAAGGAAAGAGAAAGCGGGTAACCATTTTATTCCCTTTTGTGAAAAGGTAGTAGGAAAAGTAGTAAGTAAAGTAATTAAATATATGAAGCGGATTCCACTGATCTACACAATAGACAATGAATTAACTTTTTTATGGTATAATAAACATGCCATATAGATATTAAAATCAAATAAATGAATATTCACATAAAATTCTGACAAAAGAAAAAGAAAAATTCTAAAGAAAAATCGTATCGACAAATATTCCCAAATATTCAAAATAAACCATGGTTGCATTGAAATTCCAGTATATATTAAACAAAATTAATGGAATTCAAACAAATCCTTTATTCAAAGGGACTATATGAAGAAATATACAAATAGTAATGATGTAATGATATAATGCATATAAATTAATCTATTAAAATTATATTTGTTGCATTTAAAAATTACATGTTAAATATCTTGAATCGAATTATATTTGTTTTTTTTACAAATCTCAACTTGTTAATAATGTTTTCTACTATTTTTTCCAATCAGTCTTGCTAATCATAATATTGGTTACATTTAAAAGTTACATCTTCAATATCGTAATTGAATTATATTTGGTTTTTTAAAAATTTAAATTTGTTAGTAATGTTTTCTACTATTTTTTCCAATCAGTCTTGCTAATCATTATATTGGTTACATTGAAAAGTTAGATCTTGAGTATCCTAATTTAATTACATTTCGTTTTTTAATTAAAATTTAATTTTAATGTTTTGTACTTTTTTGGGTGTTCTATAGACGAACCGTTAGTACACTAGACTTTTTCCACTTATTAAAACCTACCAATATATCGCACACCGTCTTCAAAAGAGTCACAACTCAAAATTTGTAATTTTTGAAATTATGCACAGAGCTTCTATTTAACTTTCAGCAAAAGCTGCAGAAATTTTTTTTATTATTTGTAAAAAAAAAAACCTAAGGTAAAGTCGCCCTTGTCCATGTGATTACCATGTGCTAAAAAATAGTTTTTCGCATTTTCTTACAAACGTATTATTTGAGTTGTTACTCTTTTGAACACGGTGTGCGATATTGTAAAGGCCTTGCGCTAAAAGTGGGCTGCGCTACGATGATGTTGAGCTTGCGGTAAGGGAAAAGTTGTGCCTGCGATCAGATTAGAATCCTGGAAGTATATAAAAATCGCTGCACCAGCGAATGTAGAGGGACACGCAAATGATCCGGACCTTCACAAGAAAATATCTTTATTAATATTTGCACTTTCACTTTTATGGGATGGTATACATACTTGTAAATATGCAAAGGCTGCAACAGGGTGCAACAGGGAGAATCCCTGCACCAGCGAATGTGGACGGACACACAGATGATCCGGACCTGCACAAGAAAATATCTTTATTAATATTTGCACTTTCACTTTTATGGTGTGGTATTCTTACTTGTAAATATACAAAACTTTACTTGTTGTAAAACTCTAGTTCTTTAATACGAATTGTGCATAACTCTGAGACTCAGCAAAGAAATACATAATGTAAATTATTGTTTTAATTTAAAATATTTTCATTATTTTAGATTTTTTTGGCATACTTGAATTTGCGCAATAAGAAAATGAATTTCCACAAAACAATCGATGAAAATATGGGCAGTGTTGCCTGTTGAACTTTTTGTACGAACACAATATTTCTGCTTGTATTTTAGTAGTAGTAGTAGTTTCTATAAATCAAACAAGTAATTTTTAGCAAAAAAAAACCGACTTCCACTCTCATATAAAAAAAATATATATATATATATCTCATGATCCACTGATCGGATCCTCACCAGATTAGTATGGGACCACCTCTGAGACACTACCTTTCCGATGCAAAAAGAATTATCGAAATCGGTTGACGTGGTCCAAAGTTATGCGGTAACATACATAAAAAAAAAAAATAAATATTCCGACGAACTGATAACCTCCTCCTTTTTTGGAAGTCGGTTAAAAAGAAAGCAACACAGGCTAAGGCAAAATGCGGGAGCGAGACAACTGCCAGGTTACCCAACCTTGTGTTATTGAATCATGTTGTAACACTACCATATATGAGTTCGCCATGCTATCATCCTCACATATCGCACACCTACACTGAGGAAAAAAAATATTAAAATCAAATAGAAACGTAATTGATCTTACTATAAACGTCAACGAAAGTACTGTATATTGGTAAATATTCAATTTAATTACGCGCATATTAAAATGACCGCGTTCGTTCTGAAAAATCATCCGTGAAGTGTATAATCAAGACAAAAACTAAAAAAAAATGTTTTAATTTGCGTGTTCCCGGTAGTGGAATTCGAACCCTGACTATCTCTGGGGGGCTACTCTGTAATGCGCTGCGAAAGAGAAATGCGATGCGATAGACAAATATGTCGTAAGAAATACGCTGTGGCGATTGCCTATCGCATCGCATTTCCCTTTCGCATCGCATTACACAGTAGCCCCCTGGATATCAACAAATTGTGGCAAGCATCTTTGGGCACTCAGGTACACCCAGACACAGTGTTGCCATTGTGCGACTAAAGGGGCAATTAGACCATTTTTACGAGCCAATACCCTTTGACCCGATTTTTTGAAAATTTTGATTTTTTTACCCTTTTCCAAAATTATGTGCGTTTTTTTGCCCCTTCTTACCGATTTTTTAGGAAATGTTAACAGAGCCATGCTACTAAAAAAATAGTTTCTACTGTAAGCACGAAAAAATTAATCACTTAATACTTTTAAAGACCGAGTTGCAGATTTCTGTGTATGTTTGCAAATCTGTTTTGTGCAAAGCTTGTCCCGCTATTTTCTTTTTAAATTCAACATCAAAACGTTCTAGCAGCGCAAAGACTTTATAATACATGTAAATTTAATTTTGACTTTGGTTTTCAGATTTATTCTTTTACTAGCAAAGGAAAGCATAAATAATATGGTGACCCTTTTTTTCGTGAATGACCCCTTTTTCGTGACTTTCTGAAAATTCTAACGGCAACACTGCCCAGACATATAAATTTGCTTTCAAATGTTGAATACACAGTATATACAGTAATAAACCTTTTTCAGTACTCCTCGGGGGTAAAATCTGATCACGGTTGATAATGAGAAGGAGCATGAATTCTGCCGATTCAGAGTTGCATACAAATTTACTGTGGTATGAAAGGGAGCAACCACCGTACTATGACAGGTAATTTTGTAAACAAACACTTTTCTTATAATTATAAGAGATAACTGCTATTATTTTTTTGCAATATTCCGATATCCAGCGTGTAGCCAGAGGCAGTGGGATGTGAGCCTCACTAAAATCTACTCATCATGTTGGAGCAGCTCCGGGTAATGGACCATTGAATGTGCTGGCTGAACTTATGACCACCATAACATTCGGAGTCTACAAGCAAATGCGTGTCCTGAGTTTATACGGTAGTCATTCATAGCAATTACTATTGTAAGTGTGTATGATTCATTTTTATGACATTCTATACTTTGATGTTGATTATCTCTGAGGAGCTCCGGGTAATTGTCGCTCAAGCTTGGGTGTGCTTAATGAGCTCTCTGGGCGGATGCGCTGGCAGGCTTTAGAGTCTCTATAACTATTCCAAGCTTGTTTTGTTTTGAAATAAAGACTTAAATATGGTCGGAAATTTAGAATTTTCCATGATAAATTCACAAAATTCACGTTTTTCATAAAAATATAATCTTACAATGGATATTTTATTGATTTTAAACTTATATTTAGGAAAACTCCATTCAGTGCTATAATTACGATTTAAGTTTCCAGTTTAAAGAAACAGAGGCAATAATTATGTACTTTACTATCGACATTATTCTTAATTAAACATTGATATTATATTTAATCTACATTTTGTTCATAAATAACACAATTATATATATTTTATCCTCGAAAAGAGCTTTTTTTAATCATGAGGCGAACATAAAACAAGGTAGACTTCTAGATTATCTGAGTGATATCCTACGATATAATAGTGAAACCCATTCGTATTTACTCAGGGCGAATAATAGCTTCAGGCTGCAGCTGTATAAAACGGAAAGGGATAAGAAGAACATCTTTTATAAGGGATTTAAATGTTACAATGAACTTCCAGCTCAAATAAAAAATTGTGAAAACGTCTGTACCTTCAAAAGGCTGCTACTTGATCACTGTAGAACATTGGCTATCAGATAGAATGGTCCGGCATGGAAACTAGTCCTTTCCATCCGTACTAGCTGGATGACTCTGGATCTAGTCCATTCAGATCACCTATAATATATGAAATAAGAAGATCGGCATGGAAACTAGTCCTTTCCGTCCGATCAAATAGCGCGACTCTGGATTTCGTCCATTCAGATCGCCTGCCGGTAGAGAAGTTTATAAGAGGCGGCTTGGAAACTAGTCCTTTCCAACCGCTCAGTTGTGGCGGCTCTGGAAATTACACACTTAGACCGCATATCGTACGTGATATATTTACGGTACTGCTTGGAATCATGTCCATTCCAACAGCATCGAGAAT